TGCAGCACTATGTGTACCCTGTCTCTTCCAAGCTGCCTACTACCCCGCCGCCAGGGCCGCGCACGAGGCCCATCGACTGGACGCTGCATCGAGCCCTGGCTGAGCGCACTGTCGAGCTGGCGGCCGACCCCAGCAGCGACGTGGCGGTGGTCTGGGCACTCCTCACACGCGTGTACGGGCGATTTGCTGTTTCCTTCGCTGACTACATTGCGCAGAATGTCGGAGTGGAGCTTCGTGAGCCTGGTGCATATGCCAGAAATCTCGAGCCCCGATGGGTCAATGTGACATACCCGACTAAGGATCCGAACGATATGCAGAGCATTGGTCAAGGCTGGCAGTGGTTGCAGAACATGGTCACCACGATCCAAGCGTTATATGCGAAAGATGATTCCATGGTGCAATGCTCTGAGGAGATCGCCCTGTTTGCGACGTCACCGTACCCAGGTCAAGGCCTCAACGCTCGCCTTGACGCCACGGTTGTGAAGGCGCGAAACCTCATCAATGGGATCCCCATGGACATGGACCAGATCCAATCGTTCGTCGATGATATTGCTGATGATGTTACCCTGGCAGTCAAAGGTCAGACTAAAGATTCCAATGCTGCATGGGCCGACTGGTGCGGTGCAGCATCCTGCGGCGGCGCCCGCCCTCTGCATCGACTTACCAAGGTCAAGGCCATCCCGACGCCGGCTGTGGCAGTTGGTATTCAGTCAGGTGACCCTGTTGTTATTGTTGCGCAGGAAGTGGAACTGTATCGTCGTCTGTGGCATGCTTCCGACGTCGCTCTCCCACCTTGGGTACCTGATCGGTCGATGTGCCCGCTACTGGAGCCAGCCGACCTACGTCGTGCTGCCCTGTCCTTTCCAGCTGGGACGGCCACTAGTTATGATAACTTTCACCCGAGGCACTTCCTGCTCCTCGACGGCGACGGCCTCCACACTTTGGCTCTGCTGTTCTCGGCGTCCGAAGCCATAGGCATGTTGCCCACGCAGCTGTGCTGGATCCAGATGCCGATGCTGGGCAAGCCGTCTGGAGGCAATCGTCTGATTATATTGTATGCCGCCATCTACCGTATGTGGCAGAGAGCACGCAAGCCCATGGTTGCGCACATGCATGATGCCCTCGACAGGAGATACTGGGGTGCCAGCCGTGGGAGATCGGCCACTGACTGTGCATGGTTGCAGGCGGCTCGATCAGAGAGCAACCAAGTTGCTCACAAGTATGGCGTGCTCATCACGGTCGACTGGGTCAAATACTATGAATCGATTCCGTTACTCGAGTTGCGACGCAAGTTTCAGCGCCATGGAGCCCCTCATTGTTGGCTGAAGCTGGTCGTCAACATGTGGGCGTGCCCACGAGTCATCCGACTTGGGCGCCGCCACGCTCAGACGGCCTTGGTGGCCACTCATGGGCTGCCTGCAGGCGACGGCTACAGCGACCTGGCGATCAAGGTCAATGCCGTCGACGCCTTCGACACGTTCGTCGGGCTGGCGCCGTTTCTGGACTTCCAGAACTACATCGATGACACTGGTCTCCATGTTGCCTCGAGTGATTATGTAATAGCTAAGTCAGCGGCAGTTGCGGGGATGAAGCAGTTCCAGGCGGCCAGTTCGAAGTTGAATGCGGAGCTGCACCCAGGCAAGCTGTCCATTGATTCCACCTCTCAGGAGCTCGCTCGAGATGTTTGCATGGCTCTGCAGCTGCCACTATCTGTTTGCAAGGCGAGTATCGCGTATCTTGGCATTGATGAATCTGCTGGCGCTCGACGGTACGCACAGCGAGCTCGTCTGAAACAGAAAGGCCGCATTGCTATGATGAAAAAGCGAATTCGCAAGGTTCGAGCCCTCCGAAGGCGTTTCAAGGGACCCAAGGAGACCCCGTTTAAGAAGGTGTCTAAACAAGGCGTTGCTCCAGCCTGCGGTTTCGGGGCGGAGGTCTTGGGTCTCACGGCCTCGGAGTGGCTGAGCCTTAGGAGAATGATGGCCCGCAGCGAGGGGCCTTCTCACGGGGGCGCTTCACTCACGGCTAAAGTCGCTCTTCTTGGGGATGGTAGTGCTCGTTATGCTATCGCTCCTGCAATACAATGGTGCCGTATGATGTGGACCGCTTCGCGGCGTCCCGATCTCTCGCTGGTCTCACACGCTGAGCTTTTGAAGCTTTGGGATTTGCGCCAGCCTCTGGAGTGCCCAACTTGGAACAGATCCCAGGGGCCCATCTCTAGAGCGGCTCTCAGTTTAAAGCGCGCTGGCTGGAGGGCTGAAGGCCCATGTTTCTGGATAGACCACAACGGCCTCCGAGTAGACCTGTCTGCCACGCCCCCTGCTCTCTTGGCCGTGCAGCTGGAAGCTGGACTGCAGAGAGAGCGGGAATTTGATTTTTCGCGAAAGCTCGGTTTCCCTCCAGGGACTAGGGCCACCCTGGACCTGATTCGGGATGAAGTTGGACCCAAGGCCCGAAAACTCACTCGGCTACAAAAATACCTAATTAAGAGCTGTGGCTGCGGTGGACTGTGGACTAATGATCGTGCCATGCGTTCGGGGTACTTGTGCGACGGGTTGTGTGAGTGTGGAGAACGAGACACAGTCCACCATAGGTTGTATACCTGTCAGCTCACGCGAGTTGTTGATGCGCGGGCGGCGTCTGAGGTGCCTGAGTCATTCCTCAACGCGGCTTGCGATGATCCCGGCAACCCCATCTTCACTCGAGGGGTTCACGTGTATGAAGACAGCGCGTTGCCTTGCCCGTCGATGTCCTCTGAGGTTTATACCTACGACGGGCAAGGCAATGATCTGGACATGACTCCTGAGTCAATCGCTAGCCTCACCACCCAAGCTCCGTTGCGCCTTGCGTCAGATGGTTCGAGCACCAAGCCTTGGATCAGACCCTTGCAGCGCGCGGCCTGGGCGATCGCTGTATGTCCCGACGAGGGTGAAGACCCCGTGGCGATTGTCAAAGGAATAGTTCCAGGAGTTCTGCCGCAGACGCCTGCAATGGCTGAGCACTGTGGAATTGCTACCTGCGGTCAGATTGCTACGCGCCCAACAGTGCTGGGTGCGGATTGTCAGGCCGCCATTCGAGTTTGTCAGAAAAATGTGAATGACCAGCTTGCCCTCTCCAGCCAGTTCGCTGGAGCGCGGGCCTTTGCGCACGAGCTCGAAGGCACTCATCTGATTCACACTGTTCGGCACGTCAAGGCCCATCGTGATGACTCCGAGATTCAGGGCCTGGAGGGCGAAGAAAAGATTCTTTGCGCTCGCGAATGCTGCTGCCGACCGATATGCCAAACAAGGCCTGAATCTGCACCCAGCACCGATGCCAGAATTTATCCAAGAGTTAAGCCTTGCTGGTGAAAGAGCAGGGCACTTCCTAAAGCTTGCGGCACAGGTGCTCCCATGTTTTGATAATGATGCACGGTGGGCAAGGCCCCACAGATTCGGTGCCGCTCGGTCTCGACGACAAGTGTCGTGGCATGATTGGCACAAAGGTGAGCTCGGACTTCAATGTCGGAACTGTTTCACAGTTGCTGAAGGCAGCCGTGACAATATCCCCATGGACGGATGTCGTGGGCTGCCGCCGTTCCTCCGAGGTCTGCTCCGTGACCCCATGGGACACAAGCTTGTCGCCATGGTTGGACCCCGCTCGAAGACTGGTGCGATCTCGGAGTCGTGTCGGTTCTCGTCCAAGGAGCAGATCCTCTGTCTACGCTGCGGGGGTTGGTCCCAAGGGAGGGGTTTAAAGCTCGGTCGTCAGTGTGGGGCTCCGTCACGGAAAGGTTTGGAGATCTTGGCTGATTTCAGGAAGGGGTACTGCCCCAACCCGCGAGTTCGGGCTGCCCTTAATCGTGCGGTTCCGCTCGTGAGGCTTGGCCTTTCCGCCGCCCCTCCTGAGCCAGACGCTCCCACCGTGGTCCGAACCTCACACTCCAGTTCGTTGACGGCTCCCTCCTACGAGCAGCGTATGTCAGCCTTGTGTGAGAGGATTCGTCTCAGGGAACAGGCCGCAGCGGCCAGGTCCCGTAGCTAAGTTTTTTCGTTTTCCTGGGGTTCGTTCTCCCCCCCAGTGTTTGGAATTTAGCCCTGCTTTATTCCATTTTAGTGCTGTGCACTCCCCTTCGGGTCTGTTTTTCTTCTTCTTCTACTCCTACTCCACCGCCGCCGCGCCAGCGGGCGGTCCAGGGACACGCAGAAGCATCAACATCACCTGAAATCCGCGAGCGCGTTCCACTGCTCGCAAACGTCCGAAAAAAAACCATACGTCTGCCACGCGTTCCACTTCTTGCAAAGTCCCTGCTCGCAGACGTCCGAAAAACCATACGTCTGCCCTTGTGGAATGTGTCGTAAATCCCCCATGGCGGATCCAGGCCATTTGCGAGTGGCTACTTTGCGAGTAGTGGAACGCGCTCGTCTACTGAGAGGAGGAGGCCAGGGACACGGGGGCGGGACGAGGCCCACGAGAACGGCCAAACAGGAGGGGCCAGGCGGTCCCACGGAGAGATGTTGCTGTCTTGGCGCCCCACGCAGCGCCCTGCGACCTCTTCCTCCTCTCCTCCCCTTCCTTCTTTCCCGCCTTGCGTCCGCGGCGTGTCTCCTTGGAGGAGAATTTTTCTTCCGACGCATCACATCACGCAAGTCTGGAAGAACGGAAAGACCAGAAGGACCGGAAGGACCGTGGACGCCTTTCACATCGGACACCGTCGGGAGATGGAGAGAAGCATGACAAGGAGGATAGAGGAGGGCGGGGACGACGAGGGCGGGGGCCAGGACGCGCGAGGGCGAGACGAGGGGAGGCGACGACCGAGACGAGGAGGGATGCTCGGCCACGCGCAGAGGGGGGTTGGGGGAGGGGGGAGGGCTTCTTAGAAGCACCCCTGCTTCTTAGAAGGCGCGGGCCTTCTCTATAGATGTAAGGCCGGTGCCTTCTAAGAAGCAGCCTCCTTCTAAGAAGCCCTCCCCCTCCCTCCACCCCTTCTTTGCGCACCGCCAAGATGCGCATGACCGCAGGCCAGGAGAGCGCGTCCGGCAGCTTCTCCTCCAGGACATCCCGCGCCGCACTTTGAAGGTCGCCGCCGGTTGCAGGGAGAGGACGTCGGCGTTGGAGGGCGCGGATAATGATGGTGATGATGATGGTGGTGGTGGTTGTGATGATGTTCATGACGATGCTGGTGATGATGGATATGATGGTTATTGTGATGGAGGTAGCGATGGTAATGGAACGATGACTATGATGATACTTATGATGGTGATGATGGTTATGATGATGATAATGATGATGATGATGATGATGATGATGATGATGATGATGATGATGATGATGATGATGATGATGATGGTACTGGTGATGGTGATGGTGATGATGATTATGATGATGATGATGATGATGATGATGATGATGATGATGATGATGATGGGAATGGTGTTGGTGAGAGTGACGAGTATTTGATGATGCTGATAGTGATTGTGAGGATGATGGTGGTAATTGTCATGGTTCTGGTCATGGCCAAAATCATGGTCGTGGTGTTGATGATGATGGTGGTGATGCTGATGGTGATGATGAGGTGATGATGCGGAATGCGATGATGCTGCTGGTGTTGGTGATGCTGAGGATGGTGACGATGATGTTGAAGTTCATGATTATAACGCGTGTGCTTGTGGTGGTTGCTATGAGGATGATCATGCGGATAGTGATTATGGTACTAATGCTCGTGATGGGCTGCTTGTGTTGATGGCGATGGCCATGACGTCGCGTCCAGCGTGGATGATGAGGATGCTGATGTTGATGATGATTATGGCGCCGAGGACACCCATTTCGGCACACCCCATTTCGGCACACCCCTCAAGGTTTCGTGGCCCCCATGAAGGGGGCTCAACTGCAGGCCCTACAGGCAACGCCTGTATGGCTGCTACGGCACACCTTGGCCCATCGGTTCACGAGGTGCAGCATCCCAGCCTCTGGGAAGAGTGGCTGCTTTTCTAAGGGGGGGGGTTCTCTCGCAGAACCTTGACATGCTCGCAGTTTCATGCATGGATGGGCGGTGTATCCTTGCTCCAAAGCTGGGGCGTCGCCCGACCGGCAGGCCCGGGGGGCGCACCGCTTCCAGGGGCGCGACCTCCCGTTGCGACAAGAAGGGCCTGTGCGGACCTGTGAAGATTTGGAATAATGCGACGGGATGCTGCAGCATGGTTCATACATCCTGGGTTTGCGTTTGCCCGCCTGCCCCCCTTATGCGCGCATCTGAGCGCCCTGGAGCAGGAAGAGGAGGAGCCGCAGAGGGCACCCACCGAAGTGGTGTACAGGTGCCCTTTGCACAGGGGAGGAGGAGGAGGAGGAGGAGGAGGAGGAGGAGGAGGAGGAGGAGGAGGAGGAGGAGGAGGAGCTGGTTGAGGAGGAGGAGGAGGAGGAGGGGAGGGAGGCGGAGGCAGAGGAGGGACGAGGAGGGAGAAGGACAGGAAGAGGAGGAGGAGGAAGAGGAGGAGGAGGAGGAGGAGGACGCGCGCGCGCCCGCGCCCACCGAAGGGGCGCCGACTCGCGGGGGCCGGGCCGTACCTGGGCCACCAGGTCGTCAGGCGCGGCGGGCCCGCTGCTGCTGCGCCTGTTGTTCATGCTGCTGCTGCTGCTGCTGCAGCCGCTGCTACTCTGAAGTCGGGCTTGTCCCTCTACAGGGGGGATATTCACAAATAGTCAAACAATAGTCGAGGGACTATTTGTTGAGCATTTTTTTACAATTTTGGAGCATCTTTTGGGTACTTGTTTTATTTTTCGTCGAAGATCCCCCTGTAGGGGGACACGCCCGACTTAATGCTACCCTGCTCCCCTGCTCCCCGATCGATCTGTCGTCCACGCCACTGCGGCGCGTTTTCGAAATGGTGAAGCAGCACACCCATCAGCTCCTCCACGGCTCGTGGATCCAGCGGTGCGGCGCCAACAGCAACATCCAGTGGCGCATTGGCATTGAGCCCGTCTGTTTTTTCATGCGTCGGCCGCTCAGACGCTCCTGGGCGGCAGAGCAACGCACCCGTGTCTGAGTGCTATTCCGTGGATCGTTTCGAACACAGTCATGGCTGCACTGTGCGGGAGCAGCCGAATCGCCCATGCCAGGCGTGCCATGCCGAAGAGGGCCCTGAGAGGCAGAACGCATTCCGGTGCACTAGCTGGCAAGGGGCCAGGCGCTGTGTCGGAGGCTGCCACACTGTGCTGCGAGGGGCCAGCCCGTGGCCAGGATTCGAAATGCTGTGGAGTAGGGGCTTGTGCGAGGACACCGCTGGATCGCAGACCCCCCTCTCCGCGTCACATGCCTGCGAGACCATGCGAGGAGCTGGGGTTCATCTCCAGAGAGGCTTTCACGGACGGCGCCTGGATCCACCATCGTAATCTTGCGCTTCGATGAGCCGGCCGGGCCATGAAGCAGGCCAAGAGGAGTCTATCTCTTTGTTACCGGCGGCTTCTCCTTGAGCAGGGCAGGCGGAGCATGTTTCTGGCAGAGCTGTGGGTGGGCGACAGTCA